AGCCCCCCGCCCCCGCCAAGCCACCGCCCCGCCCCGCCCCCGCCCCGCCCCGCCCCGCCCTCTCGCCCCGCCCCCGCCCCGCCCCGCCCCCGTCCCCCCCCGACCCGCTCCGACCCCGACCCTCCCCGCCCACCCCACCACGCCCCACCCCGCCCCCGCCCCCGCACCGCCCCGCCCCCGCCCCCGCCCCGCTACCGCCCCCGCCCGCCCGCCCCCGGCCCCCGCACCGCCCCCGCCCCGCACCCGCCCCCGCCCCCGCACCGCCCCCGCCCCCGCCTCGCCGCACCGCCCCGCCCCGCACCGCCCCTGCCCCGCACCCGCCCCGCACCCGCCCCGCACCCGCCCCGCACCCGCCCCGCCACCCGCCCCCGAACCCGCCACGCCACCCCGCCCACGCACCCGCCACGCACCCGCCCGCAAAACGCCCCGCACCCGACTCGTCCCCGCCCCGTCACCCGTTCCGCACCGCACCGTCCCTTCCCTTTCACTCCCCGTCCCGCCTGCCCTACCCGTCCCACCTGCCAAGCCACGACGCACCGCGCCGCTCCCTCACCGCCCCCTTCCACCACGCTCAACCCGCCTCCAGCCCGTTCCCACCCTTCGCACCTCCCCTCTCCTTCCCCGCCCTAACTCTTTTCAGCCACCCACCCTCCGAATGCTCTCACAGCACTCTTCCCTTCACGCCCCACCCAGCACCGCTCCGCCCCACCGCACACCGCTCGCGCCCTCTCCGCCTCCGCTCCACCGCCGCTCCAGCCCTCCCCCTCTCGCAACCTGCTCCAACCCCTCCACCGCTACTCTGCCTATCCACCCCGCCTTCCCGACCCACCGCTCCCGCCCCCGCCCGCCCGTCCACAACACCCAATCCACCCGCCTCGCCAGTGGCCTGGGCAGCCGCTGCGGTCTGCAAGGGCCCGTGGGACGCGGCGACATCGGGTATTACGAACGACGACCAGCCGCCACCCCGTTATCGCTGGTCAATGCACACCCTGCGGGTTTGTAGGGACTTGGGAGTGTTTAGGTCTTGGGTAACTCATTCCTTGTAGTGGACAATCTCTAACTATATTCTACAAAGAAAAAACACAAGAGTTGCTATGTCCCGTTTTACTCGAAATAATGAGTTTAGTACATTTGTATACACTTATTTCATGCAATTCATGGCGTAATACAACTTATACCATAAAAACCAACAAACAAATCAAACAAATTTTGATAATTTATATCGAAAAAATTAATAGCATTTTGTTCCAATTATTATTAATCCTGCGCGTTTTATACTAGTTCAGAGAATTTCTTTCTGTGAACATTAGGCATGAGAAATTTATTTCTAAGTAAACATTCATCTCATGTACCGTTTTACGAGAATAACATGAAATTCAGATAGAGTGGTCTGGTAGAGGAAACAGTACAGTTTCTTTAAAAGAATAAAAATAATTAGTGCATTGTGAACATATAGGTCATCACAACACAAGCTCTGAACATAGGTATTTGGTTTCACATTTCTATTATTTAATGAGATAGAATCTTCTGAAGTAAATAGTTACATATAAAATTCGTCGGTAAATTCTCAGTATTACTGTACGGTCTTCGTAAACCAAAGATTATTACGATCAAATTTTACTATAGAGCCATTGAAACGTTTTTTGATTCTTCTAGAAAACTTCGTTTCTGGACTGATCGCTTTAATTCCGGGAAAAAATTAATTGTAAAATATATTACAATCTCTATGCAGAAACGTATTTTAAAGAATACCTAAGTGAACTGTCGAGTCATCTACAAGTTTGGATACTGACTAGTACACGGGAATGTCGCAAATGTACTGATTTGAAGTAAGTTTTATTTTAGGTGGAGAGACTATAAAGTAAAGATTTATTTTAAAAAAATGCATCATCGAACTTGAAAGCAACACAAAATTTTATAAAAACTGCATTAACTATTCAATAAAAATATGAAATGTAACTTTTCTCGCATATCAGCATTTTACATAACTGTTCCAGGTACTAATCAGACCAACACCAGTCAGCACTTAGAATCCTCTACGATTATTGTTAGTAAAAAATGGCAATTATAAAATTCGATGGTAATTAATTTCACATGATTGGATTAATCGCAAATTTAAATCTTTTGATGACGTTAATTAAATACATTGATCGTTAAAATGGCTATTAGATTTACATATAGTGTTACAAAAACATATGAAAATGGCGCAAATAGATCAGAACAGCCAATATGACAAACGGTTTTAAAAGCAAAATGAACAGAATGTGTTATGTAAAGCGATTTCAGGTTGTAATGTACGAGCTTTAATCAACAGCAAGGCGGTGACACAACTTCATCGTTAGCAAAACTACTGAAAATGATAGCTCTGACCGAATGATAAACGACTAGAACGTATTACATACGAAAGCTACAAAAACATTACCCCACTAGCAAATATTGTACTATTTGTTTTCCATTTGAGAGATAAAGCAGTGTTTCAATACGGTACTTAAAAATGCATTAGGAGTTTTCCAACTATTAATCAAATCGCAAAAATACACGACGAACAAAAGAACGACACGCTACTTCACAAACGCCTAATGCAGTTTGGTCCACCACTACATCAATGAACAACATTAGCCAACTCCTAAACGTAATACGAGTGTTTTAACCCACACGAGATATTGATAGTGGAGACCACTTCCCGCTAGCCTCAATCGCCGAAACATAAAGTGGTGAACTCTTGCGGAAAAGCCATCTCGAAGGGCCCCTCGACGGACAGGGCGGAAGCCTCCCCAGCGACCGCCGGCGGTTGAACGAAGGGCCGCGCCGTAGGGCCGTAACAGTGGGCGATGCCCCGCCGCGCACCGTTAGCCTCGACAGTTACGACGACGCCGCCCGCCCACGCACTCATCCGCCCCGCCTTGGTCGTTCTCCTCTCCCCGCTCGCGTCCACGCACACTACATGGTATCTCCGCTCTCCCTGTGTGCTCCCCCCACTCCGTTGCCGCCACGCACCCTCACCGTTGCCGTCGTGAACGCACCCCACTCCCTCCTCGTGTTGCTTCCACGGCTCCTCCACGCACCCACTATGTCCCCGCCTCTCTCCTTGCTCGTAGCCGCCACGCCCACTCCACGTTCCTGTCGTCACCCCACCCTACACCCTTCACGTTGCTTCCACGCCCTCTCCACGCTCCCATCATGTCTCCACCCCACTCCCTTCTCGCGGCCTCCTCCCCCACGTATCCACTACGACCCCCACTCCCTTAAATTCAATTCGTTTCAATGACGCCTTATTTGACGTGGGTAGCTTCAGGCTATCAGACCCCTCTCCCGCCTAACCACGCAAATTTCATTACGCTCATTTTGCCATCTAGCAGCGAAAGAAGATATCACTCGGGCGACCAAACTGGTGATTATGTACAGAAAATCTACAACATATGACAGCTGTATTTACTTCCTCTCCGAAGTAAGGCGTACAAACGATAGTTTAGACTTTAAACTTCCATAACTTCAATCGCATTTGAACCAGCGAATACGAGTATAACAGACCGATACTCAAACCGCTACACGATGGAAGGCACTAATATTTACCCAAATTTCTCTTCTCGTTGCGCTCAGGCTCTCATCGCGCCCCCTCTCCACTCCTTTCGCGTTGCCTCCACCCTCCTCGCAACCTCCGTCTACACTTCCACCAGGATTCAACAACACTCCCACCTCTTCCCGTTAATAACGTTTCGAAGATACCATCCACTTCTTTCATGCTCCCAGCCTGCTTTCATCACGCCCTTTCCTCACTGATTTCACGCTCCCTGCACTCTTCCATCTCGCTCCCTACTTTCCTTGCTTACTTACGTTACTTGCATGTTACTTGCAGTCTCTGTCCACGATCTCTCTGTGTACTATCCTCTTCTTCTCCGCGTTCATATCCGCCATTGCTCTCTCCCGGCAGCCTTCTCTCTCAATATTCGAATCGACCGAACCAATGTTATATCGTCATGTAGTTTCCAATATGCTTTTATTTCATACATACACATGTGTCTTATACATTTTCTTACGCCAATTTTTGTATAATTTGCTTTCTGTCACCTCTCACTTATTCTCCCTCTCGCCCACTCTTCCTATCTTTCTCCCTCTCTCTCCCTCTATCTTCCTCTCTCTCTAATCAGTGTGATATATTCACTCGGTTTAGCTCATAAAATCCAACACCTCTTACAGAGCATTCAGGTTAATAATTGCCCCAAAACATCATTAGTTACCACAGATTCTAATTGAATCATATGAGTTCTTTAATTAAGAAATTAAAAATAATTTGTTAAATGTATACAACACAATACTACGAAGATATTGGTGTACATTTTTGCGCGTCAATGCGTGTACGCCAACAAATGAATAGTAATCAACTAAGGATTTTTGCTTAATATAAGTTTGTAAATATTATACTTACAAAATGAATTGTAATGTTTTCCATTAAACGCTATTAATCAATAACAGTTCAAACTAATTTAGTGAAGAGAGATCAAATCGCACAGCCTTATGATTCAAACATACATTACTAACTTCATACAATTTAACGAAATGGGTTGATCTGAAGTAAAAGAAAATCATACGAAACGTAAAGCAAATTTCACACGTAGGGGTCCATCAATATTTCTACAACACCAGTTCAATGGCCATTTGTCGGCATCGCCATCTGTGGGTAGAAGGGTTGCTGTCCCCGCCCCAACGGAGTTCCTAGCCCAGCGCCGTATAAGGAAACGCCCGGCTGCAGCCCCTTCGCTGGGCGCGCCCCTTGTGAGGGAGCTCCCCCGCCCCAGAAATTGATATTTTTCGGTTGACAGATAACGGCGCATTAACGTGCTCGCAGTTATTTACTGCCGCTGTCCCTTCCGCCTCGCGCTGTTGTGCAGACTCGGAGCGCAGGGGGCGCGGGCCTGAACACTTTCGCTCCCCTCCGTCTTCCTCCCACTCCTGCGCTACCTCTTTCACTCTCACTCTCTATCTCTCACTCTTTATCTCCTCTACCTTTCCAACAATACTTCTCTCGTGGTCTCTCTCTCTTTTTCTCCTCCTCCCTCGCTTGAACCACCTCTATCTCTCCGCTTTCCTGCATTACCTCCCTGACTAACTCTTTCTTTCTCTCCCATCCCTCCCTCTCCTGCACTCTCTTTCTCCCTTTCTATCCCCTCCTTCACCTGCACGATATCTCTTTTTCTCAATTTATCTCCTCTCTCCACCTTCCGTGGCCCACTTCTGTCTATCTCTTTCTCTCCACTCCTTCGTTCCCACGCCTGCACCACCTCTTTCTGACTCAGTCTCCTTCCTCTCTCTCCTCCTTTATCTCTCTGACCAACTCTCTCTTTCTCTCCCATTCCTTCCTCTCCTGCCTTCTCTTTGTCTCTAACTCCCTCTTTCTCTCTTTCTATCCTCTCCCTCACCTGCCCTCTCTCTCTCAATGTCTTTCTCTCTCCACCTTCCGTGGCTCACACTACTTTTCTCTATATCTTTCTCCCCATTCTTCGTTCCCTCGCCTGCTCTTCTTATTACCTTTTTTTCTTGACCTGTTCTCACTCTGTTAAGTCCATTCAAGTTAATTTCCGATCCCAGAATGTTTTTGTAATATTAATTGTATTGTCTAATTTATTGTGTAGTAAATTATATTTACTTTTAACATTGCGAGTCGTCTTTCTCATTTGTAAATTCCCTCTTAATAAAAATCCTATAGTGCTGCTGATCATTCTCTACATGAGAGCTTCGGAACGTGGCATCCATATTCGTCTCAACGGCTTTTCTCCCTCCACCGCCTACAAGCGCAGTCGTGCAGTCGGCAGCAGTCTGTCCAGGGCGCTGCGGCCCTCAACCCTTTGCCGTCCTGCGTCCTCGCCCGTCCTTCTCCAGCCCGCCCTCGCCCTCACGCGCCGCCGTCCGCTGGCGCAGCGCTTTGCGTGGGTGGTCGCGTCATAGCTCGCGTCTTTTACGAGCGCTCGCAGTGCCCGTCCCCTTCGGCGCCTGCGCCTTCGCCACCCCCGCAGCCTGCAGACAACCCTTCTTCCGCCCTCCTCGCCTCCGCCTTCATCCCTCCTCCGCAGACCCTTTCCTCTGCATTCCTCCTCCGCTTTTCTCGCCTCCGCCTCCATGTCCCTACCGCATCGCAGCAGCATCCAGACCCCCCTTCTTTTGCCAGCATCTCCGCCTTCCTTGCTGTAGATTCCCCACATGGCAGCATTTCTTTCCACCATCATTCAGTCTACCAAAAATCAGTTTCTTTTTTCTTCCCTCACCCTTCCCCATTACTGGATTCTCCTGCATCACCTTCAAACCGCCTTCACGCAAAATTGCCACTCCCACAATCTCAGAATTCTGTCTCTACCTTCTCCGCCTTACTTGCTGTATTTCCCTCATGGCAGCATTTTCTCCACCACCTTACACGTAGTGGTCACATTTCAGCCTGACATCTCTGCGTTCCCTTCCTTCCCAATTCTTCCCATCGCTGCATTCATCTCAACCAACTTCAAACTACCCCCGTACATAATTGCCACGTGAACAACCTCCGAATACTCGGTCCTTTCCATGTAGTATCTTCCCCAGCACTGTATTTTTCTTCGACCCTTACACGTAGTGGTAAACAGCCTAACATCTTTTCTACTTGCTCTTTCTACCCTACACTTCCCATCACCTCCAACACCATCAAACCAACCCCATACAAAGCTGACACGATTAGAGCCTCCGTATTCTCTTTTCCAATCAAACCTAGACTGTATCATCTCCTAGAACGGATTAGATTAATAGATTCCGGTTGCAGAGAAGTACGTCTTCATTTATATTCAATGTTTCCGTTTTCTGCTGTTGAATTCGCTATGGTCATACCGTAACTTATCTTACCGTACTTACCATCTTATCCATCGACACATTCCGTTGCCATTCAGCTTTGACTGTCTCAACCGTCTTCACTGCCTGCACATTCTCCGCATTTAATTGTCTTCACCTCCCCTGCCTCACCTTCATATCTATAGCCTTCGCAGTCAAATGCTGTTACGTTAGTCTTTTTGTAGCTTGCTACGTTAGTCTTTCAATGCATATTCTCATAGAGTAGTACTGTACCCTTTATCCTTCACTCATAGAAGATATCTCTCCCGTCCACACTTTCCGCTTTCCTTTCTCTTGTCCATTATTCACTCGGTGCGCTGATATCCGCAGCAATGACATTCTCGCGAAATTGGCTGCTCACCCAAATACGATTCTATGAACACTTCTCTGGTAACTGTCACTATCGCCTGTCTTTCACTATTTTTACTTTCATTTATACAGTTCCGATTACTAAATCACATTTATTGCGAACTTTCATTTTGATTCTACTCCAGTACAATATCGGCCAAACTTCCTAAAGAAATGCACATCGCATCTCATATACGTCCCCGTACGTCTGTTGCAATATGACCAAGTAATTCAGTGCTCCCTTCAGTATCAACTTCGTTATAACCAATGGTCAATGAAAATCACTATGAACAATTACATTCCTAATATGCTATGCCCTAAGGGGCATGATTAAATTGCATGCCATGTCATAGCTTCATACTAAGAACATCTCAAAAATTAAATCATCGTAGTTTATGGAACTTGTAACTTCATTCCCACCATCGCAAAACTATCGTTAAGGTTCCCATCACTATCAAAATATATAACTACAACTGTAGCACATCCAACCACCACAAACAGGAAACTCACCACCACTTAAATACTTAACATAACAATTATTACAACTAACACAACCTTCGAAATCAAAATCACTAGACATTTAAGAAATACCATCGACACCAAAATCTTCACCCACATGCCGCAACCCC